GTCAAGGAAAGCGCCACATCCGCAGTGGCACGTGAACTGTATCGCACGCACGGTCCGAAGGGCCAAGTTGCTATCAAGCAGATGGATCTTCGGAACCAACCGCGGAAGGAGCTAATCGTCAACGAAATCATCGTCATGAAAGATTCCAAACATCCCAATATTGTCAACTTCCTCGATTCTTTCCTGCAAGAGCAGAACAACGAGCTATGGGTGGTGATGGAGTTCATGGAAGGGGGTGCGCTTACGGATATAATCGACAACAACCCAGTGATCACCGAGGACCAGATTGCCACAATCTGCTATGAAACTTGCAAAGGACTCGCTCACCTGCATTCCCAAGACATTATTCACCGGGACATTAAGAGTGACAATGTGTTGCTCGACCGAGTCGGCAATGTCAAGATCAGTAAGTGACCCCAGTTGCTAACCCAAAGGGATGATTTTGCTGACCCGAACGCCCAGCCGATTTTGGGTTCTGTGCTAAGCTCACCGAATCCAAGAGCAAACGCGCCACAATGGTTGGTACACCATACTGGATGGCACCCGAAGTTGTGAAGCAGAAAGAATACGGACCCAAGGTCGACATCTGGTCTCTCGGTATTATGGCTATTGAGATGATTGAGTCGGAGCCGCCATATCTCAACGAAGAGCCGCTCAAGGCGCTGTTCTTGATTGCGACCAACGGCACACCGCGCTTGAAGAACCCCAACAAACTCTCACGGGAGCTGAAGGCATTCCTCAGTGTCTGTCTCTGTGTCGACGTCAGGAGCCGCGCGAGTGCGGACGAATTGCTCCGGAACGACTTTATGCGCATGGGTTGCAGCTTAGCGAGTCTAAGTGAGCTTTTGAAATGGCGAGAAAAGGGTCGACAATGATGATTTCGCCCCACGATTGGAAGCCGGGCTAATATGGGATATCGCTGGGCTGGTGGACGAATTTAATCGCTATTGGGAAGGGATCATACCGGCGACGACGGTCATTTCACTCGATACGCATCTTGGATACGGTGCTGAAGACTATATGGAGCTGCGGTAATAAAGGGTTAGACCGACCAGAAGAACAACAGGCCAGCAACCTGCAAGCAAGCAAGCCGAAGATCGCAGAAGCGACAAGTTGTTTGCGTTTCTTATCGAGAAGCCAGGGACTCCAGAGGAGAGACGGAACTACGATGATCGTTATTTCATGGTTGATGATTGAATGGGAAACGGATCTTCCATTTAAATGCTTGCCAGTTTAGATGGAGCATCTCGGTCCTCCAATTGCTTGCACGATGATTTGTCTGGGCATGAAGGAGGTATGTGGTGGCGTCATGCAAGCTGGTAGGGGGCCGTAGGCCGCTGGGTAGACGGACAGAGTCTGCACGAGTCTCGAGAGCGACCTCGTTCGGGCCATGGTTCCGCCCGACTGGGTCGAGGCGCCCGCGGGTGGACAGCTCATCGACATCCCACGTCAAGATGATGCCGGTCCGCCAAGACAAGAGGGTGGAGGGAATGGGTTCTATATCCGCAGAATATAGAGCAGAGGAGAGAGAAGATAGGCGCAGAGTGGGAGACTCTTTACAGAAAAGAACAAGAAAGGGAATTTTCCAAATCTCCAACATTCGGAATATACGAGGTACTGACTGCATATGTACATACCTAGGGTGATTTTGTGTACATACTCCGCAGGCTGTTGTATCTTGGGCTTGCTTTGCCGCTCGGTAGTCGGAAGGAGTCTGGCCCGATGGCAAGAGACGGCGAGACGGCTTACGATCAGCAACGAGGCAATCCATCCCCCTTTTTTTTTCGCCCCTTGAACTGCCAGTGGGAACGCGACACGAGACGACCCGATGACGGGAGTCCTGCTGAATCCTTCCAGTCGATAGGGCGCCAGGCCGCTTGAAGTGCCACAAAGAATGATAACGGCCCCCCGGAGCGTAGTACGGAGACTACCTACTAAAATCCAACAGGTACCGAGTACAGGGGACTGGGTACTGGGTACATGACGGGGTCTCGTACCTAATAGTTCCCCATCAGGGGCACCTCATGCAGTCCAACTGTGCTCCGTAGGGCGGGGTACGGAGGACCAAGTCCCTAGCCGGTACATCCATTAGGTCTTGCTGCATACCAGTAGGTACCCGGTACACCAGATAACCGGATGCCCTCCATTCCGCAAATCGACTAGTTGTCAATGGAATAAAACTGCCTGCGACTCCCTGCAACTCCCTGCAACCCGTATTTCCCTGCATATCTCGTCCGGTTCGCAACTGTCCGACTCGGTCCAGCCATTCACTCCAATCCAATACCGTCGTTCGTTCTAATCAATCCAGACATTATTACGTCAGGACATGGTGTTCGTCCCGCTGTCCTTCTGAATGATATTATCAATCAATTCTGCTACCTAGCGCGAGCATCAGCCAACTCACCACCGTCACGATCCAGATGCGGTAGGGAGAGAGGTCTTCCGATCAGTCTGTCCGGCAGCCGATCCTGCTTTCCGACTCCGTCGCTGAAAAAGCACACCGTCGTCCTGCATACCAGTTCTGCTCCTTCCTCACGATGCTGGAACACGAAGATGCCTTCGCAGAGGAAGCGCAAGAGGAGGTCAGACTGGCCGAGCAAGTCCACGTCGATTGTACCCCAAATACGAGGTTCAATGTCAGCGACGAACAAGATGATGAGGATGAGATGAGCCCCCTGATGAGCCCTCGCCAGCGTCGAAATAAACCTATTGCATATACAAGAGCCCGCGCGAGCTTTGAAAGGGCCATCAATGAACCCTGGAATGGCGCTCACGGTTCCAGTGACCTCCCCTGGTACAAGACGCCCTCAGTGAGTCGGCCGTCTTCCTTCGTCGCCGAGCAGGTGGGCAACCGCTGATGCGTTCCAGATATTTTGGCTGCTTCCTGCCTTCTTCCCCTTTTGCATCGCCTTTGGCGGCATCATTGTTCCCAAAACATACCTCATCCTCAACTTGATCTGCAAGGACTACCTCTCAGATCAAGCGTCAAAGAACCCCAACTTCAAGTTCCTACCGATTGTCTTGGGAGAAGAGAATCCGCAGTGCAGAGATCCACACGTTCAATCTCGGGTGGCCAACTTCAATCTATACATCAATCTTTTGAGTGGCGTCTTTTCCGCCGTAATAGCCCCCCATCTGGGGTCACTTTCAGATCGGATCGGACGGAAGAAAGTCATGGTCTGTGCCTCCTTCGGCGCTCTCGCCGCCGAAATCATTACCATCATTGTCGGCCAGACCAACGGCGAGGTTTCTGTTTACTGGCTGCTTCTCGGAGGCCTAATAGATGGCATATGTGGTTCATTCACCACTGCTTTGGCTTTGGCCTTTGCATATGCGTCGGATTGTTCACCCCCAGAACGTCGAGCTGTCGCTTTCGGTTATTTCCACGGCACACTCTTTGCCGGTATTGCATTGGGCCCCATCGTGTCGGGTTATCTGATCAAAGTGACTGGGACAGTTATGATCGCATTCTATCTCGCCCTTGGGTGTAACGCCTTTTTCATCGTCTTCACCCTCATCGCCGTGCCCGAGTCCTTGTCCAAGGAGCGACAACTGCTGGCAAGGGAGAAAAGACAGTTCGCTCAGGCGGAGACGCCGGACAGTGACTGGCTCACGATCATCAAGAATTACAACCTGTTCGAACCTCTTTGGGTCCTGCGACCAAAGGGTGAGGGCTCGAGTTCGGCATTGAGGAAAAACCTGTTCGTACTTGCCGCCATTGACACAATGATGTTCGGCGTGGCGATGGGAACCGTGCAAATCATGATCATATATGCAGAATACCGTTTCGGCTGGACGGCCGTCAACTCTAGCATGTACCTCTCCGCCGTGAATATCTGTCGCGTCCTGGGTTTGGTCATCATCCTGCCACTCCTTACCAGACTCTTCCGCGGACCAGCCCAAATGCACTCGAAGGGACACAAAGGCTCGGATATGCTCGATATTTGGATCATCAGGGGGGCCATCATCTTCGACCTTGTCGGATACATCGGTTATGCTTTTACTCCATCTGGTGCGATCATGGTTCTTTCTGGCATGATTGCCTCTCTCGGTGGCATCGGTTCGCCAACCCTCCAGTCGTCTCTCACCAAACACATCCCTGCAGACAGAACGGGCCAAGTGCTTGGTGCATCAGGGCTTTTACATGCTCTGGCCCGCGTGGTGGCACCGACGGTCTTTAACCTGATATACAGCCAAACTGTGGGCATCTACGCCGGAATTGTTTTCATCTGTTTGGCTTCAATTTTCGTGATTGTTTTCGTTCTCAGTTGGTTCTTGAAACCGAACGGTATGTCTCCCAGTCCCTCCCATTTTGTCCAGAATCCATGCTAAGACGACCCAGTGTATCTGGCGGAGCCATCCTCCTCCGTCAACCTCGACGAAGTCGAAGACGACGCGGATCATCTGGAATGAATTACGTTTTGTATACTTATTTGATTTCTGGCAATCCACTGTACCAAGGAGGATTATATAGATTTGTCCCTTTTTTTCGGTTGGATACGAATCAAGCCTGTCACCATAGCAATTGGAGCCAATTTTACACATATTCATAGCTTCGGCTTTTGAGAAGCGACTGGTGCTTTGAAGAAATGCACAGTATGAGATCTACCCGATCAGATGATACACCGGAAAGGGCATTCTTTCCCTGGTAGTAATGACTTCAACCTCGTTGGATATCCCAATCTCGTAAAAAGGGAGGGGGAGAGATACACGAAGGAAGCGCGACCACGTCGGATGACGACCAGGAGTTTCTCAAGATCACTTTTGCAGGAAATTTCCCCCGTATATATCATTCATTCATACATACATACATACATACATGTATAAAAAGAATGAAGTGACAAATAGGGGTTGGGGAGAGTGAGGATGGATCATGAAGAGGTTTCCTAGGGTTTTCTCCAAAAGGCTCATTCATATTAACTATGGTAGATTCCCCCCCCCCCCCCCCCCCCTTGGCAAGAAGGAGGATAAGATCCATAGAACTTCTCTCAGGACCTTCTTCATTTCTCCTTCTTCCTCGAGGAAGGCAAAGACTTCAACTCCCGGCTCATCATGTGGAAAAACCCCCTCGGCTCAATCAGCGCGCCTGCTCTATCCAGACCGACGTTCCATTCCCACACGGTCACGGCCAGGAGCATGAAAGCCGCGATTCCGAGAAAGAGTCGCGCGTCCATCTTCGGTGTGGCGGGCACGCACACGGTTACGGCGATATACACGGCCGTGCCCGACAGGCGGATATACCGGTTCTTGACCTTGAGGGTACCCGGTTCGTCCAGGGGCTTGTCCAACAGCGCCAACGCCGTCATGCTGAGCATGATGATGCCCAGTGAGCTCGCGCGCGTCCACACAGCTCTATCCAGGTAGCGCGGAAGATCATAGTACGGTATCTACTGAGCCTCCCCCGCTTAGCCACCCGGTGAGTTATACGGTGCGTCTAGCTAGTAACGAATAATAAACATGACGCTGGAAGCGAAGGTCAGGATCGAGGAGAAGAGCGCGGGATGTGCCAAAAGACCCATGTCAAGGTCTTTCGCCCCTTGTTTGTGGCTGCCGGGATGAATCTCCTGCTCCCGTCACGCTTGAAGTACAGGAAAGAGAATTCGTAGTAGATCAACAGGATCCAGACCATGATTCCCGTGCTCCCGTTGAGTCCAAGACCTAACGGGCCGTCCTTGACTAGCTGCAGAACGCCCTCGCTGAAGAAGAAGAAGAAGAAGAAGAAGAAGAAGAAGGACATGTGCGATTGAAAATGCTGGACGTCCAGAGCCTTTTTGAACTCCATCGGGGTGAGTTTTTCAGTCAGTTGCGAATCCATGATGATGGGGCAGAGATATTCCCAGATGATCGCACCAAAGACGGGCCCTATGGCACGGGCACCTGGAACTTTAATGGCAGTGACCCAAAGGGCGACCGAAGGTAGTCGGAATATTGTTTGGAAAAAGACAAGCTTCCGCAGCCACTTGATGAAAATCGAATAGACCAGCTCAACGAGCGCGAAGGCGCCGAATATGATAAGATATGTCGAGATGACCCACTGTTTGACCTCGTCGATATCTTCGGTCAAATATGCCAGTTGATTGCCGTAATTAGAACACCGAGAGCAACAGGACCCACAGGGTGAATGCTCGCTGCACCATGTCGTCCATGTAGGAGTTGTTGAGGAACTGGCGCATCGCATCCCAGATGCGCCAGGATGGCAAGATGACCACGATGAAGACGAGATATATGCCCCCAGAATCAGTGCGTTGGTGATCAAAGTCTTCCGAGGACTGGTCAGTCTTTGCATCTTACCGTTGCTATCCCGAGGTCGGGGTCTTCGGGCCTGAAGCCTAATGACGAGAAGACTTCTGAGAGATTGCCGATGATGCCGACCCAGATCAGGTCGATGAAGAGATCTAGTCTTTCTCTCTCCTTGGCAATATCTTCGGGAAGATGGCTGGAGATGCTCGACCGGTTTGATGGCTCGGGAACGCCGCGTTCGTCGCCAGCGTGGACGACCTGGGATCGATACGAGAACTGAAGGGCCCGCGGTCGACGGATAGTGTATCGGTGTCTCGAGCACCTCAGCCTGATTTCGACCATGTCAACCGCTGGCTTTCTTGCCAGGGTGAGGCATTCTCCAAGACGCGAAGGACAACCACTCACATGGTGACCGGTGTGTGCATGATTGGCATTGGAGTCGACAGGCAAGTGCAAGAAGAGACCTTGCTTATCATGCGAAGAAGCAGAGGCATATTGGATCGCACTTCGATCTCTTCCGACATCTTGCTGTCTGCTTGGTTTCGAAGCCAGACCAATCAGTTCGGGCAGACTGATGTCGTCGTCGGCTTTGACTGGATCCATAGCCAAAAGTCAACGATGCCACTTTCTAGCGGCGTGAAAGCACATTGGTAGGCCCCCAATGACCGTCGCCGGCGTCCTGTTGGAAGGGCTGGAGACGGTGTTGCCCAACATGGCGAGGACTTTTAGGTATTTGTAGATACCTTAACTCGCTTGGTTGGTACCCTTGACATCAACCACTGCCGTTTCGAACGGCAAGGCCTCCCGTGGATACTTGTTTTCCGACCGAGTTGGTTGTTTGGAAGAGGGCTAATAGAGGGCTGGTGTTGCACCTAAAGAAGAGTAAAACCTGCCCCGAGCTCACGTGCGACTCACCCAGCAAGCCCAAAGCACTCGCCCCTCTTCACATTTGCACTTGGGTACTTATATCGTGAACTTCTCCACCACATACGCCGCCAGCAAAGATCTGAACTGAGAGGTGTACTAACCCCTTCCCTCTTTTCACTAATCCCTTCTCGGCTTTTGACCACTTTTGGTCCCCAAGAGATCAAGCCTAGAGCGTACTGATGAAGCAACCAGCGCAAATTGCATGAACTGATTGAATGTCTATTTGTGAATGAATCAATTGACAAGCTGGGCAGAGGCCACTGAGTTTTGTCATTTGGCTTGATAGCCAAGGCGAGCGCCCCGGCGCTACATGTACCGTGCCCCTTTGATCAAGTTGTGTCCTTGTCCAAGAGGACTGGTTCGTAGCATTATATAACCTCCAATGGCCGCCTATCAATGTCCCCGGACTGCCATAAATCGTGCGGGGGCCTGCGAAGGAAGAGCCAGAGAGGTTCTCGACAGTATTCTATCTCCGTTCTCGTTCCGCCCAACCTTGGATCACCATTCAGAATTTCGTGTGTGCGGCCGAGCGACACTTAGACTATACCGTCGAGACCGGGACACCAGCCCGTAAGTTTCCACCAGTCGTCTGGATTTCTCTTCGGGAAATCTGACTGTGAGAGTATTGGTTCCGTCCTGGTGATCGTTTGCAGCACTGCCTTGACATGATCGTCGCTTGCATCGCAGGCCTTGAATTTAACGCACTGTTGATACACATACACGTCGCCATTGCTCCAGTGTCCTGTCTTGGCTTTGGCATCGTCCATAACTCGATAGGACTGAGCCAAGAGCTTCGCACGATATGCGGTGATCGCTTTGGGTGAAGGAGATAGCTTGAAGCTATAACGCAGATACTCAGCATACAGATTGGTCCATAGCATAGGATCCTTAAGCCTGTCGTTTAGGAAGTTGATCGGCTTCCCGAAGACGTTCCTATTGAAGCCGATCTACGGCATGAGAATGCTAGCGTAAGTGTGTGCTACCATTATCTGCTTCGCCTGTAAGCAAATTACAAGGGTGACAAACTCCAGGAGTTCCCCGTATGTCGACACACGCCTGTCTGAACACAGCATAGGCGGGTTGGTTCACATCGTAGGTGAAATCATTGCCTAAGAATTTAAGCGGGGAGACAACCTTGAACAATGGAATATTCCACCTGTCCTTTGGATAGTTTGGATTGCGGAAGAGGTAGTCCCTTGCATGATGAGTCCCATGCATTGGGATCTGGTATGTAGTGGTTCTCTCGGCTTGCATGAAACTGATGAGCACACTAACCACAGGATGGTCGACCCTCCTGCTATCATAGCATTGTGCGCCCAATCGAATAATGTGCTCTAGATGTCAGCCATTGTGTCAAGATATTCGCCCGGTCTGTCGCAAAGGTGTAGTGGCCGTGGGTGAAAGCGTCTCACGCACTCCGGGGACCAGGGCGACGCAACATATACCAAGGGTGCACATCATGAGACAATTTCATAGTCTTCGCTGAGGTTAAGGGTGTGGTTCTGCAGCCCATGAAAACCACTAGACAAAAAATTGACACAGCGACAGAATCAAGGTCAACACCACAGCTGAGCATCGCAGAACGAACAATTCAGCTCACGCAGCCAAAGTCATCCAGACCCAGGCAGCCACATGAGACTGTTGGGATCAGGATCCTGCTAGGACAGACAACAGTCACAGAAATCAGACCAGGTTCGAGTAGGATTCCGGGGACAGGCTAGTCTTCGAGTCTCGCAGTACCTAAGGCACTGATGACAGCTTACAGAATCCACTGTAGATTTCAGCTTCTAGGATATAGCTGAACATGTTGCTCAACATTCGCTTGAAAGCTTCAGATTGTCCCGACAAACTGGCGAGGCTGGGTTAACCACTCACACTGAATTTGGAGTGGCGTCCGCTACCTAATAGATTACTTGCGAATGAAAAACCTATTTCCAAATACAGCTCAGTCCTAGGGGGGGAACTGAGGGGGCTTTGCACTGAGCTTGAGCTGAGCCTCACTAGCCTTTTGTTGAGGCTCACTGAGCATCCCCTGAGCGCGATGCTGAGAAGGGCGGTTGTTTCTGGCCCCCCAGCGGCCAGCTTTACCTATGTACCTTTCAGCCAGTTGTTGCTTTCAGATAGTCCTCGCTAAACCTAGCAAGTCTCTGCTGCCTACGCTGCTGCCTAACATTCCTTGGGTATCGCACTCCTCGCTCCGATCTTCAACTTGCTCTTTTTCCCAATCCCGGTAGTTTTCTGGGAACTTTGGTTGCAAGGCTGAGACATACCACCCAGTAACTGGCACCTTTACGCACTGGGACGAGCATCCCCTCACAGCGACTGAGAATCGTGATAGCTACCTGCTAAAACCTACATTGAACTCAGAACAATATGGTCATAGTGAGAGCTCATGTTGATACCTGCGTCTTTGTCATTAATAGGCCAACACTTTCATCAAAAGACAGCCATATGCAACTCAGTATATGCTCGAAATATCGACGCCAGCCTCGGAGCTCATGGATGCAGGTCTCACAGAGCGAGCCGCGCGAACAACCCAAAAGTCGCCTACACGATTCGTCGAAGATGATCAGGTATGCCATGTTGTTGAGTCAGAAAGTTCTCAAGTACTGTATGAGCCGCTCTCCGAGGATAGGCTCGAGATACGAATTATCGATTTGGAACCAAGTACCGATTACCACTCAGAAATTCACTGCTGGCTCAGAAAATTCAGCCTCCTAGAGGTCAAATATGGAAACCCTAGCCTCTTTTGCCTTGAAGCCTTGTCATACACATGGGGAAACGACGCAGCACTGACGAATGTTGTCGTCAACGGCCAGAGGATCTGGATAACGAGAAACCTCGAGGCTTTTCTTCGACATCGGCGGGAAACGCACGAGAAAGTGATTTTATGGGTCGACGCAATTTGCATCAATCAAAATGACCCGCAAGATAAGAACAGCCAGATTCCGAAGATGAACATGATATACGGCTTTGCTTCTAAGCTCACCATCTGGCTCGGACCGGATACAGACGATAGTGGCCTCGCAATCGAGACTTTGTTAAAGCTTGGCTGCGGTGCTCCGTATGACAAAATGCCTCTTCTGGAGCCCAGCGAGTTGACTGCACTGCACAAACTTCTCACTCGGCCTTGGTGGACGCGGACATGGATCGTACAAGAACTTGTCATTGGTGGCATGGGACCGAAACTCCGAAATATCAAGGTCCAATGTGGCGGTGACAGCGTGCTTTGGATAAATGTGGTTGTTGCAGCCGCCCGCATCAAAGCGTACCACGATGATCTGCGGCAAAAATTCCCTAACATCGAGAACATCCTTGAACTGGATAGTCTACGGGAGATTGCGCAGGAGCACTTGATAAACTCTGTGACCCCGAAGATGATCTTTGACCTGCTTTGTAGGTATCGTCACTTCTCTGCAACCGATCCAAAGGACAAGCTTTACGCTTTCTGCAATATGTTCTGCAGACTTCCGTCTGAGCGCGTTGCTACCAGATACGATGCCGATCTGAAGGACATCTATATCAAATTTGCAATCGACCAATTGTTGGCCGAGTACGACCTAGAGATTCTACGCCACTGCGGGCCTTCAGCGCACAGCCTACCTTCATGGGTTCCAGATTGGTCAGTGCCACTTGGAGTGCAGCCCTTACCACTCAGAAAACTGCAGCGATACTTCCAGGTACCTTGGTGGGCCAATCCAATCAGACGCGGATCTCACAGATACATGGCCAACCATACTATTGTGCAGGGTTCCAATGTCCAGTACCATCTCGGTCCCTATACAAGAGATCCTTTTGAGGCAGAACGCCAACGACGGCTTGAATTGAAGCAGCTGGAGATAGCCGCTAAAGGATATGGTATAGTCCAGGACTTGCAGGAGATTCCGCCGGACTTCACCTTTCATAAAACTCCATACACGTTCCAGGACCAGATTCAGGAGCTACTCAAACAGGGCAATCTCATCTTCTCAGTTCAGGACGAGCGTTGTTTGCCTCCCGAGTCCGATTTTTTCGGAACGGATCAACCGGATGCAGTCAAGCAAGGAGAGATTATAACAGAGCGCCGCATAAAAGGGTGGATTCTGCGGGAACTGACAGAACTCGGAGCCAACGCAGAGTATCGGACCGCGCAAGGAACCAGAGCAGATGTCAAGATCAATCCGCATGAATCAACCTTACGAGCCAAGGGCATTCTTTGGGAAACGATCGACATATGTCACGAAGGCTTTGTTGAAGATCTTGATTTAGATTGGAAGAATGCTACACGATTTATGGTTGGTGTCGGAGCCTGTAAGGCTCTTGCCTTAAGTCACAAGTCAGCAGCTGAGCGCTATCCGACTCAATTGGAACGCCTGACTGTGTTTTGGTCGACACTATTTGCCGGTCAGGTCGCGGAATCTGACTCAACAGATGAGCAAGAGTCGCTTCAACGACTTCGCTACACAGAGTGGCTGCCTGAGATCCCACCAGACTGGGTTGCTGGCACCCCACCAATGACTGCGACAACTACAGGCCTCGTTGATTTAGCCGAGAGTGGGAAGGCAATAGAGTGCTGGGTGAACAATTTTCAAGCAGACAACGGCGGCAGTCAGCCTCTAAAATCTAGTTTCTCGATGGTTTCCGAGAAGATGTTTAATCCAGAGCAATGGCCAGAAGCCGAGAGAGAGAATTACAGGGCCGATCTGAGAGAGCTCGGCGATATGTGGCGTCGACAACGGTACGACCTTTATCATCGGCCGTTCGAGTTTCTATACATTGTTCCAGATCCATACTGGGATATACGGAAGGATCGCGATGAGATAGCGCATCAGCGAACTCGCCAGTTCAGATCCGCGGGAATCTTCTCACTTACCCCATCGGATAGTAGTGGACCAGGGAAGGAAGCTGCACTCTCACGAGACGACCTCCGGAGATATTCATCTGCCGTTCGGGAGAGAATGACGAGCAAGCCCAGTATAATTCCGCAGGGCACTCTGGAGGGAAAGATCGAGAAGTATGCTCTTGGACGAAAGTTTTTTGTCACAAAGAACGGATACTTCGGGCTGGGCCCCAAAGACACAAGAGGTGGAGATAGGGTAGCCGTTCTCTTCGGGTCAAATGTGCCATTTGTGCTCCGCAAACGCGGACCGGGAACGAAATATCGAGAATGGCAGCTCATCGGGGAGACTTACGTCCATGGAATCATGAAGGGTGAACTGATAAGACAATGGGAACTTGGATTCATCGAATCGCTGGATATCGTGCTTCGTTGAAACCGCTCAGCTGGCGTCCATTCGTTGCACACTTCGGGCAAAAAATGGCACGCCAAATATAAAGCAAGGACATGTTTCTCATCTAACAGAGCGCAAACTAGACGTACTCACTGGCACGGGGAACTTGGCGACAAGTTTTGCGCCGAGAGCTACTAGTAGAACTAGGTGTCCGTCAGCACTCGGAAAGTGAGGTCAACCTGATTGTATTAGAGGCTCTGCCTCCCCAGTTACCTTGCAGACATCTATCGGGTTTATATACATCTTTCAGTACTGTAAAGTAAGTGTACTCACCTGTACACCGTCCGCTTGGCGGCATCGATGCTAATACAGGGGAAAGGGGCAAGATCATAAGGAAATTTCTGCAACGGGGGTGAAGAAGCATAGGCACGGGTTGGCGAGGCTGTATAGGCTGTCTTTTGTTTAGGTGGCGACAGCTATGTTCATGGTGTTGATGGTAGGGATCTCCGGGGCCATGTACCGGCCACCATCTTCTGCCAGCTTGTACTTCTGCCGGCTCGTAAAGTGTACATGGCGGCTGGTGTTTACTATCAAGCTTGTCGACGACATCTTTGCTGAGCACCTTCTTCCGTCCTTGTGCCAATTCCCGGCAGAGTTCTTACATCTCTCCGTATTTCTATGGTCGAGAAAATGTGAGTGCTTCAACACTCGACACCAAGCTGTAGTTGCAGTCCCTTCGTCCGAGCAAAAGCAATTTGATGTTGACTACCTTGCTGGCGCGAATCTCCCTTACTCGTCTAGCTTCTCCCAACTGACTACTCTACCAGATAGAAACGGCTAGTAGTCAAGACATTTTCGTCACTGGCCAAGTGAAAGTGGAGGGGTGCCTTCTCCAGGCTTGCTCAAAGCACGCTCAGGATGGAGCTGCCACAGGTTAGGATTACTTTAGCAGGGCTAAGGGTAGGTTGACAAGTGTTCACGTCCGGACACCAATCATCAACAGCAGGTCGACGCCGTCAAGGCTGACTATGACAAGCTCTGCACGTTCGTCAAAGAGAAGAGACTCTATTGGGCCTTTCGCTTGTTTTATCGAATCCAGCTTGTGTCCCTGCCCAGCTGGTATGCACACTTCACGACCGGACAGCTTGGACCAGGAATTCAGATCAATGTGAAGAATTTGACAGCAACACTCCAGGTGTTTGAGAGTAACGCAGTCAATAGCGATCCGAAGAGCAAAAGCTTTACCCAGACGTTCAACAACATTGATCGACAAGTACCAGATTCCAACAGAACCGAATCTCGTTGAGCACGTTCAGAATGCCAGGGTGTGGCTTGAAGAGGAGAAGATTCGCAAACAATACCTCTCCATGTTATCAGCGAGCTACAGTCCGTTCAGGGCCGGAGCCACCAGGGAGAATGCTGTTGTTTTAGTTCGACGACGGGTTTTGAGACAACAAGTAATTGTTCCCGATTTTGCGACATTTAAAACTCTGTCTAGAATTGGCTTCATGGCCTGCATGAGTAAAATTGCGCGAGTGGCTTTACCTCTGTTACCCGTTCCGGCGGGTACAAGGATCTCACCGAAAAAGAGAGGGCTGTATTCATCTAGTCGGTATATTACAGATACAATCTGTCCCTGCTAACGTACTTACAGGGCTTGTGTCGGTCTCCACCTTTGCTATAATCAAGATAGCCGTCGGTTTCACACGATTTTTTGTTTTCTGGGAGAACATAGCTGGCTTCTGGGACGGATTGAAAGTCCTCCTCTGGTTCAAAAAGACGCTCGAGTGACTACGAGACAGCCAACTGGGTAAGAGATTCCGAGATTGATTGTCTATAGCGTGTTGACTCTATTCACATAGCAAATCAACAATTTCTTCGGTCGATGGTTTACCAGGACTGGCAGACAGGTCCCCGGCATCAGGGTTTTCTTGCCGGGACTGATAATTCTAAACGTTCCAGAGGCTTTTCTGTTTACAACGCTGGCGAGTTTCTCTCGGTCATTGCCGGGTCAGTGAGAAGAGGTCTTCCTGCATGAGCTTTACTGACACATAGCAGGGTTTTCATAACCGTTGTGTCTCTCGTCCTCATAGCTATCGAGCTGTCTAAAGCGACCGATCCGCTCGAAATCGCTTACAATTCTCTTTGGTGGCAGCAGCAGCAGCAGCAGCAGCAATACAGACCTTAGCGTTTGTGGCGGAGTGGATGGCAGTTCTTAAGCAATAGCTGCAGTAGGTAGTAAGACGCAATGTTATCGCTTCTGTTCACGCCTACTGATCCTTGCCAGCCGGTCTCGCAACCGTGGGAACAATTTGCGCTTTCGTCGCCACGTGGGCTGGTCCTTTAGCTATTGTTGTGGTTGTCGCTGGATTGATCATTTTCCTTGTTTGGTTCTTCACGCACTAAGGTACATCCTGGTACTCGGTACCATATACTACCACTAACTTGGCTAGATGATCCCCCGAAGAATCCCGTGAAAGATTTCGTCAATGGAAAGGTCAAAGACGCAGGGTTGTATCAGGACCTTTTCAGCATCGACTACTTCACGGTGCTCCCTGGAACCCCGACTTCCCCGTCAAAGATTGGGATCAGCTTTCAAGCACAGAATTCTGGCGATTAGCAACTTGCCGATCCCGGACTATTCAATCAGTCTTGCCACCGTCGTCAATTACACTCCTAAGACTGTGTGATGACTCGGAACTGATGACAAAGGTCGAAGTTTAATTTACACTACAACATACAGCGGTGTCACCAGAATTGTGTACTGTTTAGGATAGTGCCAGCGATTCGACCAGGTAGCACGCAACCGGGCAAAGACGACTCTGAGAAGCAGACGACAAAGTTCGGATGTTGTGTGGTGCTCACAGCGGACCCAGCAAGAGATCAGAACAGTCAAGAGACGAACGAACCGCCAACGAAGGGTATCGCTGAGATCTCCTGGGACAACAAGTATCTCATCGAGAATGCATCGCAGAAAGGTACACTATTTCTGCCCAGTTCAACCTCGCAGGACAGGAGACAATGGAATCTGCAATGGAGCAGCTCGACCCCGGTCCATTCAAGTATCAAGACAGGCCGTGGAAACTCTATACAAGCTCGATGGTAAGTTGGTGATCACAGCTTCGATTTCGAACTGGCTGACTTTTGTTTGACACGTTCAACCTGCGACCATGGCACTAGCTAACTTGAGCACTGCAGGGTCATCGTAGTCCCGTCGTGTTCGCATTTCCCAAGGATGTCACAGTACATGGCTCACTTGGACGGTCAACCCACAACTACCTGAGCCTTTCGAACTAGTCCAGGATGGAACATACGATGAAGGAAGAATCGGGAGGGAACCGGCTATGAAATCTCCCGTCCCGACAAACAAGACGTACACTGTCACTTGTTCCTCCCCAGGTGGCAAAGCCAGCTCCTGTGCTCAGGTCGACATCAGTGTTGAGAACGACGTTTAAATTAGAGGTGGACGACTCCCGCCCGCCTGTGTTGCGATAGGCGCGGTTTGGCAGCCAGCGTTTGAGTCGGAATGCGCTTTCTGAAGAAAGTTTTCACGAAATCTGCCAACTGTGGCATTGGAAGTACCCGCGAACTGCTGGGCGTAGAAATTCTCATAGTCAAGTGTGGGCACCTCATACTTGCATACAGGCACGTTGACGCTAGTCGTATACCCAGTAAGGCGGCCAGAGGAGGAAATGCCAAGACTTTTCCACGCTAGTCCAGTAAGGGTCGAGCTGGGAGATCTGCTTAGGAGCTCTCGCTCTGTCAATGTTCCTATGTCTTGGCGGGTGATTCTCCGCAGGTGGGGCCTCTCACAGTCGCATGATCCTTGCTCCTGTACAGAGCGAGAGAGTAACTTCGAGATAACTTAGGCCAATGTCATCCCGCCAACAGCAGACACCAGCGAGAGCAGCCCATCCTCGATTCTTGATCATGTCCCAGTGTTGAAAAGAAGCTCCCTCAATAAATGCTTCAGTACCGCTGCCCCTATCTCGGCTTCAAGCGCGTCAGCTCACGAGAACGACCACATGATGCATCCTCAAGTACCTTCAGCAGGTCAATCGTCCGTCGTTCCCTCCAAAAATGCTTTACGAGCTCTGCGTCGTTTGGCCCTATCATCTCCCGTACTCGTGGCTAGCACCATTGGCGGGGTCTGCGGTATTGCAACCTTGAACTATGAAGTCAACCGGAGAGTCCGCCTTGCTGAACAAGCCCTCGAATCCAAGAAAATCCTACGATCGTTGTCCCATGGAAGAGGTGCCACACAACTGAATGCTATGATCGAAGCTGCGGAAAGAGGCGAAGATTTCACATTGGGCACGAGAAATACCAAGAGGAAGAAGAAGATTTCAACAAGGTCTTTCTCCGCTGTTGCTCTACATGAACATGCGGAACCCACGCATGATATAAGGCCCGAGGACCTTCACACGGAGGTCGAACTTCAATATGTACCATTCAATCAGCTGGACCCTCACTCCAGAGGAACAAGTCGACCAACGCGTGCCGCAGCTTCCGCTGCAACGCATACGGATGGTGTGCACAACATAGCTGTCGAGAAGATCCTGAAAGCCAACAAGACCCCGCATAGGCTGTCGAATCATCGATTATATACCCATCCAAAACAGCAGCGCCGACCAGATGTCGAAAGAGCTTCGGATCTACTTCAGAATTGGCTCAAGCATATCCCGGAGGAGTCATGTGGAGAGGTCACAGAATCTACGACTTCGAAGAAACCCAATCGCGATAACACACACCAGAAAGGCCAAATAAGAGGTTCAGACTTGTACATGAGAAATATTGCTCTGCTAGATCCCTTGCATACGCACCAAACGTCAGTCAGAGTTGAACACAATCCTCTTCGCTCTCAACCTGAAATCCCAATACCGCAAGGCCATCTCCACATGGCAGACCCTCGCAGCGGGTCGTCTATAAACGAAAACGATATCAATGGAAAGTCACTCCCCATCGATCCACTTCTCGATCAAACACATTCCGTACCAATACCTGACCATGAGAATTCCCGCCCCGAAGGCGCGGTGCGGGGAGCGTTCCATTCTCGTGGAGATCAAGCATCTTATTTGATTGCCTACCTCGACGATGAGCGAGTGGACCAGGCTCTGAGAGACTTCCTTACGGAAATTCCACGGCTCCCTTGGGACCCAGTTGCGGTCGAGCGCTTGCTGCCAGCAGCGCCGAAAGATTTCGTCGCCCACGCAAAAAACGTCCTGGACTTGAAGACCCTCTTCAGCCTGCATCGATTTATCCGGCCAGAGAATAGGAAAATGAGGAGGCACTATCAGTATCGACGCTGGCTTGCTGTCATGAGGCATTATACCAACAAGCACAGCACTCTGAACTGGGCAATCGCGGAAGCAGTGTTCTACGAACACAGGAGCTTGTTCAACCCCAAAAACCTCAATATCCGACCAGTCTTTGATCTCGTACAGTATCTCCTAACGACGGATTCGGCTTCCAGCCGAGTTCAGAGCATCCTTTTCTCCAACTCAGGGCAGGGTTCAGCAGATCCAGCTGAGGCTTTGCAACCATCTATCCAGTACTTGAACTCCTTCTGCGAAGATCAGCACACCATTCCTGAATGTCTTGAGGAGACGAGAAAGATTATTGATATCGCAAGACGAGGTGGGCTCGCACCGTGCAAGGATCTTATCGTACCTATCCTCAAAGCCGTTGTCCGTTCAAAGGACCTCGAGGATGCAGAGACCGTCCTCGATCAGCTTGGAGCGATGTTCGGGGACAGTGATTCTCTCGACATTCTGGGGGAATATGCTTTTTTAAACGCATGCGAGGGTAAATGGGGAGTGGTCGAGTCTACGTTGGACAAGATTCACAGCGTCAACAAATCGAGAAGTCGACCTGTTGAATTCGCTCACCTATTTCAAAAACTTCTCTTACAACACACAGCCCAGAATCCCTCAGTCCGATCCTTTGGCTTCACCGTCCATGCGATCAAGTACGCTGGGTTGATTCCTACTGGGCTTATATCGAGGACACTCATCTGCGCCTGCGTCAGAGATCGCCGCTATGACTTGGTTGTCGAATGGGTGCGCTTGATCAAGGAGGCTTTTCCGCGGGTGAGCCTGGGCTTTGAACTCCTCCAAGGTGGATGGATACTTGCGGATACCCTAATGGAAATCCGTGCTAGCTGTGAGGAAGTTGCCAAAATTTGTCTGACAATTGCTCATGGATGCCGGAAAAATCCATTTGGTCCAAGCTTCAGGGAATTTACTGTCGACCTTATCAAGTCAGATATGACTCAAAGGCTAAGCTCCACCTCTGCTCAAATATTGATAGGCAGTGCGTCGAGGGGGGATGTCCGTGCGATGAACTTGGAGCAGTTGCTCACGCTCGCTTTTGACCTCCGCAACTCATTGACGACATCAAGTTCAAACAATGTGCAAACGGAAGGACTAAAGAGCGACATCGCAACTCAGATGTCCGCAATCGCGAACCTCGCCAAAGCATTTCGAGGGGACACGAAATTATTGTTCCTTGGCAACAAAGATCAGACGGAGATTGTTTCCAAAGCTCGTCGTGATGGCGATTCCGGCCAGAAGCTGCGCGGCATGGGCATCTCTAAGCGGACTTTTCCAGAGCTCTTCGATCAAGACCGGCCCGTTGGGATCAGGAAGTTGACAGCCGCGCTGGTAAGACACTATGATCGGCGTGAGAGACATGGCCTCCCTGTCGATCACTCCCTGCTGAGACAGGTCATAATGCATATCGGTCCGCAACACCCATCGGAAATCCTTGACCTCGTTGAGGCCATCTATGCGAGCGGCTATGTCCAAGGGCCCAATGGGACACCATTCGACACAGACATCTTCAAAAAGTGGCTCTACTTGGTGTCGACGAATGGATCCGTCAAGTCCGCTGCAGCGGTGTTAGGGGCGGTGGTCGATTCCGCCAGTCATCTGCAGTGGACTGCGCATTTCCGTCATCTATGTGAGTTTGTGACTCAGGCGGAAAGTCATCCAAATGGCAGCTTCTGGGACGAGAAGCAATATCCCAAGAAGCCCGAAGACGAGGGACTGAGGTCGCTGTACGAGGAGATCAAGAGGATATGGGTTGGTGTGTGGAAGCAGAGGAAGGAGACGTTCCGGTTCCCCGAGTGGAAGGGCTGGGAGATGGAACTGATGTAGTTTTGAAATAAAGTATGATCTCCTTTGTCCATTCGAGACATGTCGCTGTCAGACGGGAATATGGCGGAGTTTGCGGCCGCATTTGTCCGACTTCCTGCCCGAGATCGCAGTCGATCAACCAGGTAAGAAAGAATACATCATAAAGGTGTGTTGTCTAGGGTACATATATATTCGATGTCCCACTACAAGAAGATATTCGCCATCATCATCGTCATCTTTCTTTTCCATGCGAGATACTGCCCATTGCAATCTGCAGCACCAGTCCAGTCCGTCCCTGAGGTCTTTTCCACCCACCCACCATGGCGGAGGCGACAAAAGAGCAGGCATCGACGTCTAAGCGAGGCCTCCTCCGCCTCCCCGCTCAGACATTGCAAGACAAAGTTGCGATTGTGTCTGGCTCGAGCAGAGGGCTCGGTGCCGATATGGCGCTGGACCTGGCCAAGAGGGGCGCAAAGGTCAGTCATTCATTCACTCAGTTACCCAGTCACGGTATATATCGTTCAATCACGTTGAGGTTCTTGGTCGGTTCCCTCTTGGGCTATATGCATACATCCGTCCCAGGGAACTGAGGGTCTGGAAATGGAGGAAAGTGTTTGAACTTTGCTTTTCGGTCCCACGTCCCTTTTCATCCTGGCGGTCGGTGGCTGTTTGACAGAATGCAAAGGCATTTGACGATGTCAACGGACCTGACTCTCTTGTCCTCTCTTTTCCTGTTCAATCCCTTACATCACATGTACCTCTTTCACTTTGCCCACTGGTTGTGCATTGTTCTCTCTCCCACTATCTCACACACCCATCACGTTCCCAGGTCGTGATCACATACGCCTCGCCGTCCTCGACCCCCAAGGCCGACACGCTCGTCCAGACAATCAAGGACCTCCCGAACGAATCCTCTGCGATTGCCGTGTGCGCGGACCTCTCGCAGCCGTGGGCTCCAGCGGAAATCGTCAAGCAGACGCTCTCAAAGTTCGGGCCACACATCCACATCCTGGTCAATAACGCCGCCGTACAGATCACGCGGCCGCTCGCCGACATCACCCAGACGGACTACGACCGCGTCTACAACGTGAACGTAAGGGGCACGATCCTGCTGACCCAGGCGGTACTCCCGCACCTCGCCCCGCGAGCGCGCGTCATCAACATCTCCAGCGTGGGCGCGCGCGCCGGCTTCGCGGCGCTGTCGCTGTACACGTCCAGCAAGGCGGCGCTGGAAGGGCTCACGCGCTCGTGGGCCGCAGAGCTCGGCAAAAAAGGCACCACCGTCAACTGCGTCGCGCCCGGTCCCGTGCAGAGCGAGATGCTCGACTCCATCCCCACCCACATCGTCCAGATGCAGATGGACAACACACCCCTCGAAAACAGAGTCGGCACTCCCCAGGAAGTCAGCAATGTCGTCAGCTGGCTCGCCGGGGACGAGAGCGCGTGGATCACTGGGCAGGTGCTGAACGTTAGCGGCGGGTGGACAATGTATTGAATTTGTGCCGAGGACCTCCGGGTAATGGCATTTTTGGAGGGAACGGGAGACCTTAAATGACGAAGCATAAAGAAATCAGGGAATGTATACGAGTTTGGAAATCGGACCAGCGGCTATAGACATCCCTGCGAGAGGCCAGGGACAGGATAAATGGGGGCATAGAACAAGATAGGAGTCTCACGAATCGAAAGCATAAACGCAGTGTCATGACAGCATTGTGAGAAGTTTTGATCTTTATGGTTTTTTATTTTTGAGGTTAAGAAACAAGTTGGTTTTCTCACCATCATACCCTTATCGTACAGTCGGCAGTATCTTTGCATGCTGGCCAGCGAAGAACTTTTTCTGCTCCAGGCACCTTTGGCTTGTGCACCCTTGACATCTCAGCCCCATCTGTCTGGAACAGCTCTCGCCACTCATCAGATGTTTGTGCGCAATATCTGCCAGTGCCTGGATGAATACCGGGTTGTCGTTGAGGCTCTCTGCACGCTTGACGCCAGGGTGGCCCTTCGCATCTTCGTGCATGACCTCCTTGTCGATTTCGTACAGTGTTTCGATATGGTCGCTTGTGAAGGCAATGGGAACCAGAACGATGTCTGTTTGCCCTCGCTTCATGTATTCCTTGACAGTATCGCTGGTCTGAGCGCCCAACCACGCAGACGGCCCGACTTGGGATTGCCAGCAAAGTCTGTAGGGGTGGGAGTGGCCGAGTCGATTCATGACGGCGTGCACTGTTGCCGCGACTTCGGCTGGGTAAGGATCACCTCTGTTGACGACGCTCATGGGAAGACTGTGTGCTGAAAATAGAATCACCACGTCTTTCCGGCGCTCTTCGGGATATTCGGCCAATTTGGCTTCGATGTTCTGCGCGAACGCCTCGACTAACCCCGGGTGCGTGGGCCAGCGATCAATCACGCTCCATGTTATTGCTCCTTCTGGATCGACCTCGCCGGTCGTCGCTCGTTTGCCTTCGAGCCGGTTCCGCCATTTCCACAGTTCGTTCAACGAACTTCCCGTCGTGGAACAGCTGTATTGAGGATACTGCGTGAATGCCACCGCTCGACCTCCCTTTCCGCCACCAAACCCATCTTGTAGAAGTTGTTCATACATATGTTCCGTCAAGGGATTCGCGTATCGAAATGCGACATAGGGTTTATGTGGTGCCGTTTCCGGGGACAATTTGTCCAAGATCTTGCACATTTCTGAACATTGGTGCTCTGACCATTTTCGTATTGGGGAACCCCCGCCGATGGCCGAGTACTGTTGTTGTATCTTCGGGGTGCGGCGACGAGAAATGAGGGGCCCGAGGTAAGGTTGTAGCGGGCCAAGGGGGATGAGGTCTCGGTCGGCGAAGAGGCGGGAGAGGAAGTCGCCTACTTCCGAGGTGTGCGAGGGACCGCCCATGTTCATAAAGACCATTGCTGTCGGACCTTTCGAACCCGTGGAATCTTGAGTCACAGGGGGGATGGCCGTCGCCATCGAGGCGCTCTGGAGGGCCAAAGGAGCTGCGAAGCCATTGTTGACTGAGGGCGTAACTCCCGCACGCTTTGTGGCCAGTTGGCGGGCGAGGTGGGCTGTTGAAGTGCGCAACGACATGTTTATATTTTGTCGCAATAGTCCTGCTGTTACCGAGCCATGAGAAGTGTCTCGAGGAAAACAGCAACAGCGGGGAGTAAGACTGTCAGTCGAAAGAAGCTTTCCCTCTGGAACCCAGCTGATGAAGTTTTTCGCGGCTGGTCGGTGATCAAGAACCAAAAGTTCTTGAAAGGTCGATGATGATGACGAGGACCACTTATGGTCGCCTCGCCTCGCAGCCAGCGGAATTGCAGCCGTCCACGTGATAGCGCGTGTTTCAGCCTTGGGCGCGACTTGGCGCGACTCTTTGGTTGCCTTCGGCCTTCCAGTTGCCGGGTTTGCATTACATCAATATCTCGGCGAGGGTCTCCAAATACGGTCCTGCCATCCCCGCGCAAAGTTAGAATCATACCTCCATCGGTCTCGATGAGTGCACAGTATGGGTGACAATCTGCCATACCGACCTAAGGGCGATCCGGACGAGGCTGAGCGGAATGACGACCCGGATGATGAGGAAGAGGAGATAGACGAAACTGGCTACAAGACTGTGAGAGATGCGGTGCTGTTCGCCATCGAGGTCAACAAGTCCATGCTCAAGGTGCCACGATCATCATCTGCGTCGAAAAAGTCCGACAACTGTTCTCCCCTTTTGGCCGCCCTGAAATGCGCATACCATCTAATGCAGCAGCGCATCATTTCCACCCCAAAGGACCTCATGGGAATCCTGCTCTATGGCACAGAAGCCTCCAAGTTCTACGACGAAGACGAAAATTCCAAGGGAGGCTGGTCTTTTCCTCACTGCTATCTTCTCACAGACCTTGATGTACCTGAAGCGGAAGATGTCAAGGCCCTCAAGGAGTTGGTCGAAGCAGACTCTCCAGAGTCAGCCGACATCATCAGGCCGGCAAAGGAGCCCGTTTCCATGCACAACGTTCTCTTCTGCGCCAACCAAATCTTCCAACAGAAGGCTGCCAACTTCACCTCGCGCCGACTGTTCATTGTCACGGACAATGACGACCCTCATTCATCCAACAAGGAGTCTCGATCCCAGGCTACTGTGAGAGCTAAAGATTTGTACGACTTGGGAGTGACCATTGAGCTGTTCCCCATCTCGACCTCCGACCACACTTTCGATACGAAACTCTTCTGGGACGATATCGTCTATCGAGCATCCCCTTCGGACCCGGATGCGATTGCTTACAACCCCCCTTCCATTGTGGATGCCGACGGCCCAAAGTTGGTGACTGGTGCTGGTGACGGCATTTCCTTGTTGCAGTCCTTGCTATCCACCATAGCATCCAAGGTTGCGCCGAAACGTGCGCTATTCTCTTCCGTCCCGCTTGAATTGGCACCGGACTTCAAGATATCTGTGAAAGGTTACTTGCTCTACAAGCATCAAAAACCTGCCCGCAGTAGCTATATCTATCTCGGGTCAGAAAGACCCCAAATTGCCACTGGATATACGGAGCAAGTCGCAGACGATGAACGTGACCGCAGAACAGTCGAGAAGGCCGAGATTCGCAAGGCGTACACCTTTGGGGGAGAGAAAATCACGTTCTCTGATGAGGAAGTCAAGAAACTGCGCAACTTTGGGCCGCCTGTGATACGGGTGATTGGGTTCAAACCAATGTCCAGATTGCCAATGTGGGCGAACATGAAGAATTCGACCTTCCTCTACCCATCAGAAGAAGACTTTGTTGGCAGCACACGTGTATACAGCGCCTTATACCGCAAACTGTCCAAGGATCAGTTATTCGGCCTAACATGGTTTGTCCCAAGGAAGAATGCCGCACCAGTGATGGCTGCCATGGTCCCGACCCTTACTGCCGAGGGCAGCGATGACAAGCCCAATGCTGCGGGAGTATCTGCTACCGGCGCACCTCAGGGCTTACATTTGATTCCTCTACCGTTTGCAGACGACGTCCGACAGAATCCACCCAACACTCATGAAACACCGTTGCGTGCACCGGATGAGCTCGTTGACGCGATGATGCCTATTATCCGTGAGTGGCAATGCCCTTACCTGAACCAAGCTCACCTCTATTGGAATTCTGACTGAATAATTAGAGCAACTAAACCTTCCCAAGGGCATCTATGACCCCTCAAAATACCCCAACCCCAGCTTGCAGTGGCATTATCGAATCCTCCAGGCCCTCGCTCTTGATGACGAGATTCCAGAAAAGCCCGAAGACAAGACGATACCGAAATTCCGCCAGATTGACAAACGAGTAGGAAACGAGACCATAGAATGGGACAAAGTTTTGAAAACGGTCTACAAGCAGTATCGGGCGGAAAACCCAGATTCAGGGCCTACGGGATCGAAGAGAACTGCCACGAATGGAGCAGCGGCGTCGTCGAGCGCGGGAAGCAAGAAGGTCAAGAAGGAGACAGGGAGCCGGTTGGATGAAGCGGAGATCCGGGGGCTGTGGCAGAAGGGCCAACTAGAGCAGCTGACGGTGGCCGAGCTGAAGGATTTTTGTGCGATGAAGAAGATTCCTGTTGGGGGAAAGAAGGCAGATATTGTGGAGAGGATCGAGGAATGGCTTGAAAGCAAGTGATTCGCAAAAAGGACATGGACAGGTTTGTCGAGTCCGTAAAATGATGTGATACCCCCAATCAAATTGTACTATTGCCGGCCTCATCGCCTTATCAAAATCCCAAGACGTAGTGTGGTTAATGTGTGGTCAATCATTGCAGTCCCAGTCACAATCTCCCGAAGAGCGAGACTGACACTGCACCCAAGATCGACTACAGAAGAATTGATCTCCATTCCAATAGACGATTTCCGTACATCATGGATCACCGCTTGGAAGTAGTAACCTCGTAGGAATGCTTTTTGAAGGAACGTTGGTATTTTGCGTTGTTCATATGAAGGGAAGAGAAGAGGAAGAGGGAGCGAATTCGAAAGCAGATAAATTTTGAGCAGGGTCCATTCCTAAAATGGTTAGACTGGCCACCAGCCTACTCGGTAGAGTTGCCATCGGTTAGAATAAATAAATGCCAAGATGCTTAGTGGCGCTAGCGAGTGGCATAGTGCGTGCAGGAAATGACGTTGGGGCTTCCCTGGAGTTCCAACTGCGGAATCCACCTCGCCGCTCGTCAAGATGCGAACAGCGCATGTGCTCCTGGTCAACTGGTCCACTCCCTCGTAACCCATTTCAGACGACGGCAAAACCAACTGACTGTATGGCGTTCGACGTTCTGCTTCCTGTCCTCCTCTAATCTTTGCTGAGCGCAATGGCACGGGTGCCCTTCATTGGCAGGCTCTTCTGGTGAGTTGTCTCAAGCCCTCTGTTTCTTTGTCAAGTGTCTTCGTGACTGACGGCTGGTTGACTAGGAGAGAGTACCTGGCCCTGTTTGGATCTCTGATACTTGTTGCTCTCGAGGTCCTCGTTCGGATCATCACGCTGGGACTTCCTCAACCTATC